TTGTAAACGTACTGAATTCACTCAACATTTATTTCCTGAGTGAGTCCTATATGTCATGTATTAGAGACACAAGATCCTTTAAGGTTTTACTTTATACTAAGGAGTCACCTTATGGTAAGGATCACTCACCTAGAGCCAGATATCTTGGAATGTGGTATCTTTCAAGTGGGCCTTAGAAAGCATCACTACGAACAAAGCTAGTGGAGGTGATAGAATTTCAGTTCAGCTATTCCAAATCCTGAAAGACAATGCTGTGAAAGTGCTGCACTCAATATGCCAGCAAATGTGGAAAACCCAGCAGTGGTCACAGGACTGGAAAAGATCAGTTTTCATTCCAATCCCAAAGAAAGGCAATCCCAAAGAATGCTCAAACTATCGCACAATTGCACTCATCTCACATGCTAGTAAAGCAATGCTCAGAATTCTCCAAGTCATGCTTCAACAGTATGTGAACCGTGAACTTCCAGATGTTCCAGCTGGATTTAGGAAAGGCAGAGGAACCAGAGATCAAATTGCCAACATCTGCTGGATCATCGAAAAAGCAAGGGAGTTTCAGAAAAACATCTATTTCTGCTTTATTGACTATGCCAAAGCCTTTGACTGTGTGGATCACAACAAACTGGAAAATTCTGAAAGAGATGGGCATACCAGACCACCTGACCTGCCTCTTGAGAAACCTATATGCAATCAGGAAGCAACAATTAGAACTGGACATGGACCAATAGACTGGTTCCAAATAGGAAAAGGAGTATATCAAGGCTGTATATTGTCAGCCTGCTTATTTAACTTACATGCAGAGTACATCATGAGAAACACTGGGCTGGAATAAGCACAAGCTGGAATCAAGATTGCCGGGAGAAATATCAATAACCTCAGATATGCAGATGACACCACCCTTATGGCAGAAAGTGAAGAGGAACTAAAAAGCCTCTTGGTGAAAGTGAAAGAGGAGAGTGAAAAAGTTGGCTTAAGGCTCAACATTCAGAAAACTAAGATCATGGCATCTGGTCCCATCCTTTCACGGCATATAGACGGGGAAACAGTGTCAGACTTTATTTTTTTGGGTTCCAAAATCACTGCAGATGGTGACTGCAGCCATGAAATTAAAAGATGCTTACTCCTTGGAAGGAAAGTTATGACCAACCTAGATAGCATATTAAAAAGCAGAAACATTACTTTGCCAACAAAGGTCGGTCTAGTCAAGGCTATGGTTTTTCCAGTGGTCATGTATGGATGTGAGAGTTGGACTGTGAAGAAAGCTGAATGCTGAAAAATTGATGCTTTTGAACTGTGGTGTTGGAGAAGACTCTTGAGAGTCCCTTGGACTGCAAGGAGATCCAGCCAGTCCATCCTAAAGGAGATCAGTCCTGGGTGTTCACTGGAAGGACTGATGCTGAAGCTGAAACTCCAGTACTTTGGCCACTTCATGCGAAGAGTTGATTCATTGGAAAAGACCCTGATGCTGGGAGGGACTGGGGACAGGAGAAGAAGGGGACGACAGAGGATGAGATGGCTGGATGGCATCACTGACTCAATGGACATGGGTTTGGGTGGACTCTGGGAGTTGGTGATGGACAAGGAGGCCTGGCGTGCTGCGGTTCATGGGGTCGCAGAGTTGGACATGACTGAGCGACTGGACTGAACTGAACTGAAGGAGTCACCAATGAAAATGTGAACAAGTCAGAAAGGTAAATTCAGTTTGATAAATGCTGTCACGTAACCAAGAGGGGTGTGTGGACTGGCTTCTGGGCTACAGGGTGGCCCTTTCAAAGAAGGAGATGGCAAAGGCTTCTTGGAAAGGTGCCCGGGTGTGCTGAGAGCAAGGTGCTGAGGGGCAGGCAGGCGACGCAGACAGGCCTTCCAAGGAGGAGGAGGGAAGGCCAGGGACATGGAGAGAGACTGGGCTGGCCCGTTTGAGGAACAGAAAAGAGACCAGTCTGGCTGGAACGCAGAATGAGAAAGGTGATCAAAGAAAAATAGATTTATGGATAATTTTAGAGCTAAAATCAAAATGACTTCCAAGGGGTTGGGTGTGGTGAAGATCACCTCGGACCTTCCAATGGTCCCAGGACTAAAGTGTGAGGATGCAGTAAGTATATTTGTCTTTCATTCTATGACTGTTTTTAGCCATTTAGACATTGTGAATTCTATAACTGTATTTTCCTCAGCTTTGGCCACTAGAAACGTCAAAGCATAATCTGAAGACCAATTTTTCCAACCTTTGAAAATAACATGCACCTTTTTGTATATTAATCAATTTTAGTCTTAGGATTTTTGTAATTTTCTACCCTAATACTTTCTGTATCAATTAACTTTTATTCTGCTAGATGAACATTAACTTACAGTAAGTTACCATATGATCTGATGAGGGAAAGTAGTAAAAATACAAATTTCTCATCATAGTTTGTATTAATTGTGCTTTAATTAAAACATAACAAAAGTGACAGAATGAAATTTCTATAGAAAAATGGCAAGGGAAGAATGGGTGGAAGAAAAAAAACAAAATTCTGAACGAAAACCGAAGGGGAGGCTCAAAGAGAGGGAGAAGCAGGTTTCCGGAACCAGAGTGCCCGCATTCCCCGGGTTCCCTGCCCGCTGTCCTCTTCATGACACGGTGACGAGCAGAACAGCAGCCGCCTCACAGGGCTGCTGGTGAGGCGTACCCTAGCCAAGCTCTGTAATATGCTCACGAAGTACTCGGCCAGCAGTGGGCGCACTGTGAGTGCTTGCTGAAGTAAGTTGGGGTGTGCAGACAAGCAGGATGTCAACAGGTGAGAGGCAGAGAGAGGACTGCAGATGCAGGAACTATGTGAACAAAGGTCTGGAAGTGGGGAGCACACACTTCAACCCAGTGGTGGGGCTGGGTGCCAAACACGGCAATGTAATGAATAAAGACCAATCGGGAGACAGGTCCTAAGAACAATACAGAAGGGCACTCACTGTATGCCTCTTAGAGGAGCATGAATTTAATCCTGTTTAACAAGAGTGTCTGGAAGACGCAGTTCCATGGAAGCCCTCACCTCGCACGAGGGAGGAAGCAGCGTCCAGAAGGTGTTCAGTCAGCACAGCCAGCCATGACTCCACACTAAACCAAGGGCTCTGACTGTGAACTCAACAGCAATTCTATCCAAGAATATCAACCACCAAGGCAACAGAAAAGCTTTACACAGTAAGCAATGTATATGTTGTCATCAAGAATAATTTTTCATCTGGGTGGATGGAGGGGTTTCTCTAGACATTACACTCCCCGAACAGAAAGTTTCTGCCTTCCTGCCTGTTCATAAGGTAACATTTTCTACTTAACTGAAAACATGACAATCAGATTAGAAATTATCTTCAGTAAGAATGACTGGTCTGATTTGGGGACAGAGCATCCCCTAAACCGAAGACCCTGCCCAAGCTCTGTGTTCTCCATCCAAGGGGTAAAATGGGCCTTGGCAGGTGTGACACTCCAGGTGCGCTCTAAATATAGGCACACACTCCCCTGCATGAGGTGGGCCAATGGCGCTGAGCAAGACAAGGGGAAGAATGAGAGAGAGCAGATATGGCCTCAAGGCAAGGACAGCCCACAGGCCCAGAAGCTGGAAGGGTCAAGAAAAGGATTCCTGCTACCACCTCCAGGGGGAGAGCTGTCAACACCCAGGCTGTGCCCTCCTTTAGCTGACTGCAGACATCTAGTCTCCAGAGCTGTGACCAAATTCTATTGCTTAAAGCCACCAAATTGGTAGTAATTCACTGCAACAGCCACAGGAAACTAATATAGCAAATATGTAATTTTTTATGACTTCAAGTAAATTATTTAACATTAGGAGAAATGGAAATGAAAGAAATTTACCATTTACTGAACAGCTACATAAATTATCTCATTAAATCATCTGCAGCAATCCTATTATTATTAGCCTGTTTTATAGAGAAAACCCACCTGGAGCCATGCCCAGGTCTGTGTTTACTTTATACTGCAATAACACCTGTCTGTAACTGCTCTGACAGTGTGCTGATCCGCAACACCCCCCAGGGGAACTGATTTGTTATTCCTCCAAATGCACTTGGTTATATGGAATAAGTCTATTTAAAATTACTTTATGCAAAACTACCTGAAAAAATACATGTAGTCACTAGTAAAAAAAAAAAAAAATCTGTGTGACTAAAGGGCAAAAATTCAAAAATTAAAAATAATTCTAAAATAGGTTTGAGAGTCATATCTCAATCTACAGTTTTCTTCAACTGACTTATAATTCATTAAAACATTTTTCACATTTAAAAGGGGCATGAATCATTAGTTTGAGACAAAAATAAAATTTCAATGTGCCTGGACAAGACCCGGAGTATCAGATAACACAGAGCATCTACATGAAATAAAAAGAGAACAGGCATGAGGACATTTACCTGGTACCTGACACTGCTCACCACTGGAGACGTGGCACTGAACTAGCTTGACACCATCTGCACTCAAAAGGAAACACAAGCTTCTACAATGTCCATTTGTGCATCAAAGCTATCGCTTACATTTTAAAGAATTAAGGGATTAATAACATGAGAGTGATTAAATAAACTTATCTACATTCATTAGCTAGTAAGTGGTACAGGTCATATTTAAGCCCAGGAATGTGCACGCTCAGTTGTGTCTGACTCTTCATGACCCCACAGACTTTGGCCCACCAGGTTCCTATGTTCATGGGAATTTTCCAATGTTTCTATGTTTTCCAATTTTTCCCAGGTTCATGGGATTTTTTCCACTGGAGTGGGTTGCCATTTCCTCCATCCAGGGATCTTCCTGATCCAGGGATTGAACTCATGTCTCCTGCCACCAAGGAAGCCCAAGAATACTGCAGTCCAAATGAATACTCTTAATATGATACCATATTGCCCGAAAGCATTCCCATAGGCTTTGTATCAACACACTGGTAGACCTGCTTACCTGTTAATAAAGAAAACAGGAAAACTGTCACCATGACACTCCATTCTAACAACAACAAGGCAAGTCAATTAATCACACCTACCTGGTTATTGCTGGGGTTGGTACACCTCTTGTACGTAAGGTAGGTTTCCCTCGAACCACTGGGACATCGGCATTTTCGGAACCACCATTCAAATATGTTAATTCCTGGAGCTGGGCCTGCCTGATTTCATCATTATAGTCCTACACAAAAGACAGAAGAAAGCAAAGCATTTAGGACAAGAAATAAACAATTTTTAATAGAAAAGTGTATGAAAAATAGTTAAAATACATAAAATAAGATTTGAGTCTATTGAAATGAAAAGATATCAATGAATCGTTGTAAAGAGAAAAACCCAAACAGTATTTTTCCCCTAAACTAAAATTTTCTACGGTCAGTCATAACTCCTTCTCTTGGGCATACTTTCCAAGTGAATTATTTATAATAAAATTAAAATATCATGTAACTGATATATGGGCATTATTATTTACAACTCAATCAACTTGTAGTTACTAAGCATAAATGATGTACCAACGAACAAAACCCAGGGTAGCACGCATGGGTCCTGCAGCCAAGGACTCTCAGTCTGACAGGAGAAAGGGGGAAGACAAAGGGGGAACACAGCAGCTCTTTGAAGCTAAGGACAGCATGCACACACGCTCTTTGTACATATTCATTTGGATGTTGTTCAAGTTGCAAAATTCGGCATTTCCAAAACTGAATACATCATCTTATACTTGAAAACCTGCTCTTACATTATTTTCAAAATATTCAACTCAGAAACTTTGGGAGTTATCCTTGATTTCTCTTTCCTTAATAATGTCCCCAACTCCATTCAATAACTGTCAAGAAAGACATGCAATAAATACAAGTGTGGTCTGTTTTACAATCAAAAGAAAGTTCAGGTCTATATGATCAAAAAGGAAGGCCATCTAACTCAGCCATGGACAGTTAAGAGTAGATTCTCTACAAGAAATGTCATCTAAGGGTGAGTGAACCAGTTACCAGAAGAGATGCTGTAAAGTATTCTAGAGAGAGGGAAAAGTATATTTTAAAACCAGAGTAAAAGTGTGCCCAGGGAACTGAAAGAAGTGTATATGGCTAAACTACAAGAAGTCTGGAGTGGACGAGTGGTCTTCAAAGTGGAAAGGAAAGCAGAAACCAAATCAAGTAAAGACTTAAGTCATTTTAAAGATAACATCAAATGTCTGTCTGGAAATTATGGTACTAAAAAGTATTTAAGAAAGTGAGCTGCATATTCAGGTTTATATTTTGAAACTGCTATGAACAACTGTGTGCCCACAAGTTAGATAACTTAGATGACATGGACAAATGCCAAGAAAGACACAAGCCATCAAAACTGACAGAGAAGGAACAGAAAACATGAACAGTTAGTAACAAGTAAAAACACTAAATTAGTACTAAAAAAAAAAAAGTCCTGCAAAGAAAAGCCTAAGTCTGCAGGGCTTCACTGGAGAATTCCACAAACAATTAAAAAAGAATTAATGTGATTTTTCACAAACTTCCATAAACTAAAAAGAAGGAGATGTCTGTCTCCTTACTGATTCTATGAAGTAAGTATTGTTGCCCTGATACCAAAACCAAAGACATTGCAAGAACTCTGCAAAAGAGTGTTCTTAGGAATATAGATGCAACAGCTCTTGAAAAAGTGTTAAGAAGTCAAATCCACCAGCATGAACAATAAACAAAGGAAATATGCACAAGAACTGAGCAGAACTTATACCAGGATTGAAAGCTTGGTTTAACTCATGTGAAAATCAATTAACATAATACCATAATAATAGAATAAAAGACAAAAATCACATAATAATTTTAATACACCGAGAAAAAATTTGACAGACGAATCCAACATACTTTCATTATAGAAATATCCAACAAACTAAGAAAACCCATAGCTAATACCATATTTAACGGTAAAAGACTGAAAGTGTCAGCCTAATTCCAGGAACAAGACAGGATATATACTTCTGCCACTTTTGATTAATGGTGTTCAGATTGGAAGAGAAGAAACAAAATAATTTGTTTACAGATGGCATAATCCTATATACAGAAAATCACAAAGAATCCACAAAAACATTATTAGAGCCAATAAAAGAGTTTAGTATAGTTGCAGGATACAAGATTAATATACAAAAATCAGTTGTATTTCTTTATACTAACAATGAGCATTTTAAGAATAAAAAAAAAGATTCCATTTAGAGTAGCATCAAAAAGAATAGCATACTTAGAAGTAAATTAACAAAATAAAGGTAAGATCTGTACACTGAAAAGTACAAAGTAATATTAGAATATATTTTAAAAACTCTAAGTAAAAGGAATGATATCCCATGTTGATGGATAGGAGGACCTAACATTGTTTTTATGACAATAACTCCCCCTACACACACACAAATGATCTCCAGACTCAAGGAAATCCCTATTAAAATACCAGCTAGCCTCTTGCAGCAATAGACAAGTTGATCCTAAAATTTACATGGAAATCCAAAGAATCTAGGCTAGCCAGAACTATCTAAAGGAAGAACAAAGTTGGAGGACTGTATGCTCCAATTTCAAAAATTACAGTAAAGCTATAGTACTTGAAGACAGTATGATACCAACTTAAATAATACATAAAGATCAATGAAATAAAAATGAGAGCAAAGATATCAAGTACAGTCAATTGATTCTCCAACAGTCTCCAACAAATGGTGCTGCAACAACTGAATATCCACATCAAAAAAATAAGGTGGGCCCTCTACTTTTTGTCACAAAAACTACAAATGTTCTAACTTAGATTATGTTGATGGTTGCGATACTATGGAAGATACTAAAAACCACTGAATCATATATTTTATATGAGTAGATTTTCTGCTGTGTGATTTATATCTCAAAAAAGATAATAAAAGGGGGGAAAAAAAAAACAAACACTGGAGGCAGAAACATTAGGTGGAAGTAGTTGAGTAATCCCAGGATGTGGTAAAGATGACCTGGAGTAGGGAGGGACATGGCAGGAAGGGTGGGAAGAGGTAGATATGGAGTTATTTCTAATGCCTAATTTTATTAGACATGGTAAAATATTGATTACAGGGGTATAAGAGCAAAGTCAAGAATGTTGATTTTGTTTCTGGAAGGCAAGAAGAGTAACAAATAATTTAATCAATTTGTACAGGTTGAGTCTGCAATGGTCTACAGTACATGAAAATTGAGATATTCTATAGCAATCAGATAGAGGAAATGAAAACTTAGACGTCAAAGAGGGATACAGGAGTGAGCAAGGAAGAGTTGCACAGGCCCCGCACATGACAGAGTAGGGTGTGTCATCAAGGCTGGCCCATGGCAGGCTTCTGGCAGAGAGCCTCGGAATCTGTTGTGCGTTCTGCCTATTCCGACTGCTCTCATGTGCCTGAGGCCTGAGGTCAGGCTATACCCACTTGGCCAGATAAATCTGTGTCAGCAACGTGACCAATGGGGAATGTTTGTTGTGGCTCAGAAAAGGCGATTGTGGTGCTGGCCTCTGAGCATCTGTCAGGCCTCTGAGCATCTGTCAGGCCTCTGAGCATCTGTCTGCAGTGCACTGCACTGCACGCCTTTGTGACTGATCCGCAATAAAAACCCTGGACATAAGGTTCAGGCGAGCCTCCCTGGTTCGAACGAACAGCCCAGTGTCGTCACACGGTGCTGCTGGGAGAATCAATGAGTCCTGCCTAAGTCCACTGGGAAGGGACAGCAGGAGGCCTGGGCCTGGTTTCCCGACTCGCTCATTTTCTCTTTGCCGAGTGCTCCTGAAGAACAGCTGAGCCTGCAGTGGCTGTGGGGACCTCCCACGGGGATCCACCTGCAGAGAGAACAGCAGCAGGCAGGGCGCGTGGGGCCGTCACAGGGTGAGGGGAGGGCCGCAGACCCCGCTCGGAACACCCACATGCAGACGGGGAAGGTCCGCACAGACCACAGGGCGCGTGGGAGCCGTCACAGGGTGAGGGGAGGGCTGCAGACCCTGCTCTGAACACCCACGTGCAGACGGGGAAGGTCCGCACAGACCACAGGAGGGACAGGCAGGTGGCCAGGCCACAAAAGCCACAGCAAGTCAGAGTTGCAGTCACATCAATGAAGCCAGGCACTGACTCTGCAGGATTCACTAACTACAAAGGCAGCACTGACTTCATAATCATTTTGGTTAACAGTGAGTGAGCTAGAATTCATTCAGGTAGAATGAAGAAAGAATGAGAACAAGTCCCAGATACACTAAAGGAGCCAGCTTCTCCCAGCTGTTTGGCTAAAAGGGGAAGAGAGAAGGACTACTGTCTGAAGAAGGAAGGATTTGATGATAGAAGAAACAAAGCAAATTTGAGTATGAATAAAAGACCCAGATGAGACAGTATCCTGAATTATTTAGAATTAAAATATAAAATGCTGAAGCTGAAGCTCCAATACTTTGGCCACCTGATGTGAAGAGTTGACTCATTGGAAAAGACCCTGATGCTGGGAAAGAGTGAAGCCAGAAAGAGAAGGGGACGACAGAGAATGAGATGGTTGGATGGCATCACCAACTCAATGGATATGAGTTTGAGCAAGTTCTGGGAGATGATGAAGGACAGGGAACCCTAGCATGTCCATGGGGTCACAAAGAGTTGGACATGACTGAGTGACTAAAAAACAAATGCTCTATTCTTTACTTTTCAAAAGTAGAGTGCAAAAAACAACTTGTAGGAGAAAGCATTGTGAAGTAAGAAAAATAACATGGACACCAATCAAAAATGAAGTTGATATCATGACCAGCTAACACCTGCAGAGGAAGAGGAAGAGAGGTAAATGAAGAAAAATTCAAGTCAGTACCACTAGCAAGAAAGGCTAAGGTCTGAGTCTAGATTTCATTGCAAATACAGATTCTCTAACTTATCTGGGGTATCACGACCTCAGAAGTCATGTGAATCTACAGCTATGTCAACTTCTTTAAAATAAGCCCATCAACCTGTTCCTTGCCATTCTACTAAAAATGTGTGATTAATAAATTATTTGTAAAGCACATTCTAAATAAAATGTGCTATGTAAATGCTAAGTACTAGCCCTATTGAAAAGTGTTAGAAAGCAGGACACAAAATTTTATGTGGCTAAAAACAGATTCAGGGGAAAAGAACATAACTGAGGCCCCATTAGAAATACAATAAAAAAAAATTGGCAAAAGCTTTGCTCTGAGTAAAGTTAG